CTTTAAAAAAAAAAAAAAAAAAAAAAAGGAGGGGGGTGGATTGCAAGGTCAGGGGTGGTGGTGGGGCACTATAGGGTCATCCCGTTGGGCAGTGGGATCTTGAATCCACTCTCCAGAAGTGCCAGGCAGATGCCCAGGCCGGCAAGGCCAGCAAGAAGCACGCCCGCCAGGGCCTTGAGGAAGGAAGTCCTGCTCCGGGTGAAGGTGCCAGGGCCCAGGATGCTGAGCAGGGCGGTGCTCACAGTCAGCGTGTACAGGATGGAGACGCCCGTGTTGAGGGCCACAATCTTCCCGAATTTGGCAAAGGGTGCGATGATGCAGAAGAAGAGCGGGACTGTGGCGATCACGGTGGTGACGGCACTGGAGACAATGGCTACACCCACATGCCGCACAGCTTCTATCGTCCTCCACTGGCGGCAGGCGGTGGGGTCCTGGGGATCAGGGCAGTGAGGTTAGCAGGCAGCCCTGGGGCACAGGAGGTTGTGCCCAGGCTTGAACGGGAGCTGCTAGCTGCCAAGGTGGCTGCAGTTCTGCCAGCCAATGGCACAGAGCTGGTGGGAGCTGCACCAGCATCAGTCACACCGAGTGGGGGCATGCAATAGGGTATCCGTCATACCGCCCCAGTACAGGCAGGGCCTAAGAAGCAGCATTTGGATTCAGCTACACCATCTCCTCCATCCCAGGGGCAGAGTGCTGCGAGCTCCCCTTCTCCAACCTCATGGCTGGGGCAGGCCCTGGCTCTCCCTGCCCCTTGCAGGAGGCATAGGGAGGAAGGGTGCTCTGAACCCTGGCATGGCCCCACACGCCCTCCGGCAAGTGTAAGGGAACTCACCTCAGCCTGGTGGAGTGGCAGGCTCTCTCCTGCCAGCAGGTAGCCCTCCACCAGGTGCACACAGTAATCCACTGAGGAGCCCACAAGGATGGAGAGGGAAATGGCCTCAACTGCACCCATCTCCCAGCCAGACCAGTACATGATGGTCACCACCAGGCAGACCACCCCTGCACAGAGAAGCCAGAGAGGAACGTCAAGCAAACTACAGACTCTCACTGAGGACCAGCCCTAGTCAGTGCAGCTCCACCGAGCTCAACAGGGGATGGAGGGAACTGTCTATGCAGTATGCTTACAGGCTGCCCTGACCTATCTGGGTTGTACCTTCCTCCCCATGTGGGGTGGAAAAGGGCAGAGCCTCTCTGCACTTGGGTAGGGGACCTGGCCTGCACTCTCAGCTCATTAAGCACTTGTGTGCTGTGCTGATGGGGGACCAGGTGCCTAGATTTGACGGAAGGCTGGGGAGAAGAGACAGACAGACCGCTAGGAATGAGCATGCTGTAAAGCCAAAAGAATGCTTGGCGAAGAGCACAGCGAGCGAGCGAGCGTGTGTGCGCGTGTGCGCGTGCGTGTGCATATCCTCCCACCCCCCAACATGAAAGAGGCTTCCTTGGTTTGCCTGTTGGAGTTCTGCACACCACATGGGCATGCATAAGTATGTGTGTGCGCATTCCTATACCTGCCACATGAAAAAGGCTCCTGTGGTTTGCTTGCTGGTGCATGTGCACCTACCCGTTCTCTTACTGGCATTCTGTGCAGTGTCTGACCCCAGCACTCTTTCCTGCCTAGGCAGGGGGTCG